GAACAGAGTGCAAAAAGTGAAAGCTGTGCAAGCAACGCGAACATCGCGAACAGATCTCAGGTTTGTTCTTTTTCACACTCTAAAACTTCTAAAATCTTCTTGTACTTTATTTTCTATCCTATATTTTTAGACTCGAGCGATATTTTTATTCTCTATCCTATAGCCGCTATAGGATAGAGAATAAAGTACAAGAAGATTTTAGAAGTATAGCAAATTAACACGCATAAAAAATTAATCGTACAACATATTATGTAATAATGTGTAAATGCAGACAAATCCTCTATTTTTTCTGTAAATAAACAATTTGAAGCAACATTTTACCATTATGAATTCAAATGTTGGACGGAAAAAACTATAAAAACAATATTTTCTTAGGAAAAAATGGAAAAATCGAGTTTTTTTCCATTTTTGGGGGAAAAATGGAAAAGAACTGAGTATTTTTCAATTTTTTGGGAAAAAATGGAAAAGAACTGAGTTTTTTTCCTCGATTTTATTTTTCCGGAAAATTAAGAACACTATTATAGAGCATTTTTCTAATTTTTCCGTATTTTTCGAAAAAAACCGGGAAAAACCGGGTGTTTTTCCTCGATTTTATTTTTCTGGAAAATTAAGAACACTAGTGATAAGTGTAAACGTGTGCAAGTATTTATCAAAATTTGATGAAAGATCCCTATTTCTGCATATGTTTTTCGATATATTATACAGGGTGTCAGATTCGATATGGACGACCCCAAAGATTATAGTAGATTGGGTTAACCTGAGAAGAAAAGTTATATAAAATTTTACAAAATCGTAATTATTATCGCCTAATTCAGAAAAACGTCTGAGCGAATAAGTGCACGGAGGAGCGGAAGGCCGGACTCGGCAGCATGCAAAATGTGTGTTTGTTGACATCTCTAGCGAACACGTTCGCCCGCTCACCGCTCCCCGCTCCCCGCTCGCCTCCGTCTCTCATCGATCGATGCGTGACTCCACCTCTCGCTATCGATTTTTGAGAGATGTCAACAAACACACCATTTTGCATGCTGCCGAGTCCGGCCTTATTGGCTCAGACGTTTTTCTGAATTAGGCGATAATAATTACGATTTTGTAAAATTTTATATAACTTTTCTTCTCAGTTTAACCCAATCTACTATAATCTTTGGGGTCGTCCATATCGAATCTGACACCCTGTATGTATACGCATAATTCCAGCATTCCAAGTTTTATCCAGATTTTGTCACATAATTCTCTAAATATTTCCCTATTGAAGTATACACGGCTACACGTTTACATATGTCACGTACTCGGATATTCGTTTACGTGTTCACGGATTCACGTAAATGAAGATTCTTTAAATAAATGTACACGGGTCAAAACACCGATAAGTTAAATACACAGTTTACACAAGTAGTCTAGTACAAGTGTACTAGGGAACTCTAGTATCGATAAACATATTGTAAAATGTATTACGATTAATATTCTTCATTATAAAGAAGTCTAATGTGACAGTTAGTTATACATGTATGTGTAACAGCTTATTCATATCGTTTTGTACACAGATTGGAGACACATTACAAGAGGCATCAATAACCAAAAACAGAATTCATACCTGTTTAATCCACACGCGTAACTGTACATAAGTACTGCGTTTTCATTGAACTTTACACAAAGAAACTTATAGATTAACATATACAGCATTTTGCAACGCAAGGCGAACGTTATATCGAAATCTGTTGTTGAATCCAGGGTGTGTATTTGGCCACATCAACATAAACGAAGTATTTCAGTAGACCGCAGAACGAAGTTTCATTGATTAGAGATCGCGAAACAACACCACGCAACTCATAACTGTTTGTAATATTGTTTACAAGTATCAGCCCGTTTCCAGCGTCACCGCGACAAGGACCCAGTCCATCTTGCGAACCAGCGCAAAAGGTGTTATCCGATATCGTGAAAATGAATCTAGAATCCGTCCAGAGACAGATCTCCTGCAATTTGTGGAACAAACTTCAACTGGAGGCTTGTAATCAATTTGACAAATACATTTGTCACAGATATATGTAATGAATAGTAATTTTATAATAGCAATTACCTACTTACTTGACTCACTATCGTCGCCCTCACCATCCGCTGATCGTCAAGATCACGACGATTACAGTTGTCGTTAGCCCATCCTACAACATATCCCGTCCTACTAACGACGTCTTCAAGTTTACTTGAACCGGACCATAGGCAAATAGGCCTGATGAGAGGAGTGAACTCGACGACGTTCTTGAGGGTCACATCCGTGAGATCGGAATCCGCTTTGAGATAGTGAACATAATCGGGGTGAATCACGTAGCTCGCAACTTTCCGATTGGCAGATCTATCTGCGCGCAATGGGTTCAAGTTAAATCGCCCTAGAACCACTTCCAACATGTCGATGGGTACTGTTTCGTTACTGATAGTTACGTGCAGTTTCATACAGTACCCCGCTGTAAAAAGGACATACGTATGACTTATATTTAGTAACGATCCAAACTTTCTATCCGGAGGCATCCTGTACGCCCTACCAATGTTACATACTTCAAATGTGATACTCTGGAATTTAATTAAATCGCTTAATTTAGTATGACATAAAATACCTATGTATGCATAAAAACATTTATATTGATACAGCGCCCAAATAATACTTTTTATATACATACCCAGTGAGAAATGATTCGTCGATCGACGTCGAGACCACGTCGAATCGACATCGACACCGTCGAATTGACGTCGATTCGACATCATTTCGACGTCGATTGACGAATCATTTCTCACTGGGTATATCACAACAAGTTCTTAACGTACTGGAGATAATCTCGAGGAAATATTATGCTTAAAACAGAAAGTACATGCTCCTTATGTGTAAATACAAATAATAAAAAAAAGGTTAGAAATAATGAAGAAGAGCTGTTAAAGATGACGTTGCGAAAATATGTATATGTAAATATTTGATATACGAATGTTTCGGAAATACTGTGCCATCGTTTACTAAGCAGCGTATACTTCTCTGCGCCACGCTCGCTACTTCTTAATATTAATGGATAAAAATTATTATTTTACTAAAAACAATCCGGAAATTGTACGTAGGACTGGAAACTAACTCACATACAGTTAGTTCAATACATGGACTATGTTGCGACGTAAATATAGTGG